TGGGACTTCCAGATCCAGACAGACAAAGATGGTAATGGCGAACCAACCGGACATTGTGGTGGTGGATAAAGAACAGAGGAAAGCCGTTGTGGTGGATGAAACAATACCAAGTGACCACAACATCAGGAAAAAGGAGCATGAGAAACTGGAGAAATACCAGGGCCTCAGAGAGGAACTGGAGAAGGCCTGGAAGGTGAAGACCACAGTGGTGCCTGTGGTCATCGGGGCCCTCGGGGCAGTCACCCCCAAACTGGAGCAGTGGCTCAAACAGATCCCAGGAACAACATCAGACATCTCAGTCCAGAAATGTGCAGTTCTAGGCACAGCCAAGATACTGCGCAGAACCCTCAAGCTCCCAGGCCTCTGGTAGAGGACCCGAGCTCAGAGGATGAAAGAGACCACCCATGGAGGGTGAGAGGGGAATTTTTTATTTTTTTATATATATATATATATAATAAAAGTAATTTCACTTAGGAGAAGACGGGTAAGGAGGGATGTTTTAAACGGATATCTTTAATTTAAATGCAAGTTAAGGTAAAACTGTTCGGACTGTCTCCAGTCCAGACAGGAGGCTGTTTTTTATTACCATTTTATAAAGATTGTTTGCATTTCTGTCAATAATAAACATATTATTGTTTTTGCCGTGTAATTGTAAAAAGAGCAAAGACGCAGAGAAATTCCTAAAGATTCCCTGGAATGGTGCTTGCTTGTCATTGAACACAATGTTGCTCACCTTTTATACTGGGACAGGGGTGAGGGTTAGGGTTAGAGGAGGAAGGCAAGACAGGGCACTAACCTGGGAGAAAGAAATGGCTAAAATGTTTATTTTATGGTAAAAGTTAATAGTGCACTGCCTAGTAAGACGGTGCACTAACCTGAGAGGAATATTCAGGCTTTTATTTTTAAATTTTCAGTAAGCTTCATTTCCCATCTTTTCGCTAATCCCATCTGTAACAGTGGTTGGGTTTAACCAGTCAATGTAATGCCCAAAACAGCAATTATCTGCTGTGAGAAATGTGAAGTCTTTTATTTTGGAGGGTATGTGATGTTTTCATTTCGACAGTCAAATGTGGTTGTCAGTTAAGGGGTATCAAGTTCCACGAGTCATGTGGTACTTACTTCCTTTGCTCTTTTGCCATCTTGTCTATATTAAGTGTTATAGTGTTCCGTTAAGGTGCTATTTTTATATTTCTAAATGCCAGCTCTGCCCTCTGTAGTAACTCAGTGTTCCACCGTCACTGTAGTTCTTAATAACTGCCGACTCAGCCCTCCTCTGTAGTAACCAAGGGTGCGTTCACACTGCAGCCTGAAGTGACCCAATTCCGATTTTTTTGACGTAATGCGACCTGTATTTGATCTTTTCATGGCAGTGTGAACAGCACAGGTCGGATTCTTTTTCGAATGTGACCCATATCCGATACGTATCCGATTCAAATGCGACCTAACGTCCAGGCCGCCTACATCCGAACTGAACGTCACTGATTCTCAACAAATCTCACTATTCTGTGTCCTGATGAACGCAAGTGGGAAGAAAAACAACAACCATGACGGATTATATGAGGATTAAGTTGTTAATATGCTGCTCCGGCCGGACAACAACTTCAAATATGTAAGCTAAGCTCCACCGTTAGCCTCCATGTTTACTTCCGCGAACACTGAGCACTTATTTTTATGGCAGTTGACAGAACACTGAGAATGCTGACGCTATTGCGTCCTGCATGTGCCCTCTAGAGCGCATGCAGGACACTTTCAGGTTGTTTGCCCGTTCACACTGCAGAACGCATACAGGTCGCATTTACTGGTAGCGTGAATGGCCCCGGCAAAAAAATCGGAATTGCCAAAAAATCGGAATTGGGTCACTTCAGGCTGCAGTATGAACGCACCCCAAGTGTTCTGCCATCTCTTTACAGGGTTTCCCCCAGTGTATTATAGGCCTGGCGGCCCGCCATCCTTTCCTAGTGCCACCGCCAGGCTAAGCCTTTCTTGTTTATGTTTTTAGGAAAATAATAATAATAAAAAATAAACTTTTTTTTTTCTTCTTTTTTTTGAAAGCCGGATTGTAAGCGTCTCTGTTGCTCTGAGCGCTTCACTGGCGGGGCAGATTTATTCCTAAAAGATATGTTTATAGAAGATAGGTTTATAGTTTATGCATTTAAAGCCGGACCAATCACACCGCTGGCGCCTCTGTGCATTGCCTCGCGCACTGCAGTAGCTGGATTAAGTTTACCTCAGTGCGGATCCCACACGCCTCCTTTCACTCTAACTGGATACGGGCTGACCTGTATGGATATTTACATCAATCCCCTGTGAGGATTTATGATTCTTTCCAGAGTTTTTGATCAAGGTAGGACTTTAAACACCACTCTGGTGTTTAAAGTCCTACCTTTAAACACCAAAGTGTTTAAAGGTAGGACATGACTACAGTTCATGTAGAGCTCTGGTTGCGCAGCTCTACATGAACTGCAGGAATAACTTGTAGTCGTGCTTTCAGTTCAATTATTTATATTTGTGAACAAAGAATGTTGTGCGGCTTTTCCATCTCAACACACTGCCCGGCGCCTGGCTCCGCCGGCGCTGATAAAGTGTTCCCGGTTGGCCGGTGTGTTAACGAACTAGTGCTAACCTGATCCTCAGCCTGGTGAGGAGCTTTCGCGCTATCCTGTCTGTAATGCATTATGCTGATTTTATATTATTATATTATTATTTTTAGTATTATTTTTCCGGTTACATAATGCATCAAACCGTATCAAATGCTTTGTCCACTTAGTCAGACAGAATTAATCTGCGCGGCCGCACGGAGATCTGAGAAACTCGTCTCATAAACTTGATCAACCAGAATAGTTTCTGTGACGCTTATTAAAAACTCAACAGACATGAAATGAAAGAGCTACTAAAGCCACATTAGCAGCATTGAATTAAATCTCCCGTTTGCTGCGCATCTCTGCGTAGTGCAGCAGATTACCTCATCATGCAGGGCCGGTCCAAGGCTGTATGAGGCCTGGAGCAGAATTTGATTTAGGGGCCCCTTTTGTTGCTGAAAACATCAGCACCTCTAACAGATGTGTTGGATTTAATCTGAGAGAGGGGGAGTAGTTTAACTGGCCAACCTAAAAAGCAATCAGTTATAATTGCAGTTTACTAAATTGTATTTGTGAACAGAGCTCAAACTTAAAGATTAAACTCACAGCATCAGATTGCAACTAGGGTAACAAAAGAATCTAACTGAATATTGTTCTTTGAACTTTTACAAAGTAAACTTCCCAGCTCCTTAAAATCTTACATTTAAATGTTAAACAATTTCAAATCTTTCAATTTATGTATGCTGAAATTTAATCAAATTTAGCAGCATTGATCATCTCAATAAACAAGTGTTACATTTATGTATCTGTGGTCTGTGTTAAAATATTAGCATTTATGGAGTCCCTGAAGCCCTGGGGGTCTGATGGAGCTGCTGACTTAGTTTGGATTAAACAAAAGTGCAAATAATTGATATTCATTTTAATTGCATATTTTGATTTGTTGTTTTTAAGACTAGGTGTGGGTTTAAGTAGTGTTTCACTGGCGATGTTACGTAAAAAAAAAAAAAAAAGTATAATTACCAAGTGATATTTTTAAATTTCCTGTCACCTTAATGTCTTTTAATACAAAAACACGGTGGACCACTGGTGGACCGCCTTGGCACCCTGACCACCAGAGTTAGCAAGTTTTCTGGGGGAAACCCTGCTTTAGTTCTGACATTCCGCCATCATTGTAGTTCTAAAGGGCAGCTCTGCTCTCTGCCAACTGTCATGTGAGTGAGCACAGAGGGGCAGACCATGGCTGTGTCCGAATTCAGGGTCTGCATCCTTCGAAGGACTGGTCTACGTAGGACGGGTCCTTCGAAGGCCGGGAATAAACTAAGACCGGAAGAAAAATACCTGTGGATTCGGACAGGTGTAGCTTCACCAACTGTCCCCGCCCCCAGCTCAGCGTAACTCATGTTGCCAAGCAACCGTGACAGCGTGAAGCAGAGAGCGGAGAAGAAAAAAAAAAAAAAACGGAGCCGAAGTTTGTTTTTCAGTCATGTATTACTGATTTCTATTAGTCTTCAACTTTTATAGTGAAGGATGTTCCATAGTAAAAAGGAAATCTCTTACTTTGATTCTAAAATGTTCAAATGTGTATTGCACTTTTCTACAAGGAATACAAATTATTCATTTACAAATATAATACTTTCCACATTGCAGATAGGAAATTACGGTTAAATAAACCTATTATGTTTGAAGGTTTAACTTTAATTAATGAATCAAACCGATGTGCTCTGCTTTGAAATACTTTATAAACCAAACATTTTCAACCAGACCTGTCTGAATAATATCGGCGTTGAACTCCCACTCATTGGGGAAAGCTAGCGGGAGTTTTTATAACAATGTGCCAGGAGTTAGGCGTTTTCTCTCGGTGTACCGAACCTGGAGCGCCCGGCCAGCTGACAGCTGGAGGGGAGCTGGCTGTTAACGCAGCGGTAGCAGACAGGTCCGAAAATGTCAGAGCAATATTGCAATTAGGTGATGTATTGATGAACCGAGCAGATATTTGAGATTTACACACTTACATTCTCGCCTAAAAACGTTGTACCAAATCACGTTGTCATTTAAAGTGTTATAAAGCTAAATAATTTGTCGCTATTCACCGCCATTGACGCTCTGCCTGAACGCCCAGTTGGAACCCGCAATGAATTATGGGATATCGTGGGCCGTGAAGGACATAGACATAATATAAGGCTCTTATATTATGTCTATGGTGAAGGATACAGACATGATGTCTATGGATGCAGACCCACAATTCTATGTCTATTTTGAGGCCCCGTTTACACGACAACGATTTCGGGGGAAAACGGAAGAGTTTTGTTGCGTTTGTAGTGTGCATTTACATGAAACCACCAAATGTTTTCTCTGACAACGGCACAGATTGAAAACGGCTTCCAGAGTGCGATGTTTCTGAAACGTACCGTTTTCCGTTGTCGTGTAAACAGAGAAAACGGATCTGTTCGTCAGTATGACGCAAAACATAGCTGCTTCCTACAATCCACAGAAGAAGAAGAAACTACTCACAATGCTGGTGTTATTGTTTCCCCATCACATACGGTTCCCTCAGTGTCTCTTCACCACACCGCACCGCCCAGGTGGCAAAATACTCGGCTGCTTGTTCAGCGCTCTTATCTAGAGAACTACGGACCAGCCCCGGCTCCAGACTAGTTTAACAGGGGGCATTGACTTATTTTGGGGGCACAAAATGAATCTACGTAGCTGAACATAGACAACAACATCAGTAGCCTACTCTCTTAGAACAGATGTGGTAAAAACAACGCATGATGTGTTAAATTTTAACACGTGCCGCATCAGCTCAAGGACAACACATGACGTATTATTTGTAACACAATTTTTGTGTCTGTCATTTTAACACAAGTATTGTGTCACTTAAATCAACACAAAATATGTGTCGATGTGTTATTTTGAAACACAAATGTGTAGAATGTATTTTCATAGATTAGACCTTATAAAAATTGACAATTCAAATTGTTGATATTAGAGATTCTTTTATTACAATCAGGGAAATAACAAAGTTGACACAGCTACAATTTATAGTTAAAATATTAAAAAATTTAAATAGAAATTGAAATCACCAAGCTAACAAAATAGCACTTTTTCTAATGTTAAATACAATAACATGTACAAAAGGGAACATGGATGAAAATAATGACAAACTTCATGAAAGAGAAATGAAAATAAATTCCTGTCCCTTTAAACATTCGTGAGATTTTCAATCGCACTCAAATTTAAACCTCCATTTTCAATACCGAACAGTCATGAATCAAAATACGATATTTTGTATCTTGGTGCCACAAACAGCTTTCTGTTAACAAAACTCCTCATAACATCTAAAGGATGGAAATCACAAATTTCTGCAAGCGTGATCAGTTCATAATCACTAGTTTTTTGTACTACATATTCATAAAAATGATTATCAAAGTATATTACATTTAGTATTTGAACAAAGATAAAAATGGAGTCATTATGTGCCAGAAAATGAACAACTTCACCAAATACAGGTTCTTACATTTTGGACAACAATACATTTCATTTACAAGCTTTAAGTTGTCCAATCAATTCAATCACCCTTGCTTTTCTTCGTGTGGAGAATGGAAGATCATAGATGTACTCAAAAAATGTAAAGACAGGTCCAAGTTGGGATGGATAAGACAAGTTACACACCCAGTACAGCTTAAAAAGCTTGTCCACAGCACATGTGAGTCCATCGTCCAGGGGGATGGTGACTTTGTCATTTTTCGCAATGATGACATACTGCTTTGACGACCGCGGATTACCGATGCAGATGAGCTGGGGCTGATGGTTTGTTGATGAAGTACAGGAATCATTCCAAAGGGATGCTATTCTTGTTCCAGTCTTTGAAACAAAAAAAAGAAATAAAACAAAACACATTTGTTGGTGAAATGATCAGGAATTCAATGTAATTTCTGTTTAAAATAATATTTGTCAAAGGATAAACACCTACCGGCACAAAATCTAGAAGGTGTGTTATTGTATCCTTGACGCTACATTGTCTTCCACTAACAGGGGGCAGAAGGTGTGTTAGTACCACGAGTGTTCTGTAACAAGCCTCCTCTGAAAGTGAACAAAAACCAAAACATTAAAAACATCTT